ACAAATAAGTGTAGTTTTAGTAGACTATAAATTCTATATTAACAGAACATGTTCTGTTAATAGTATGTTCACAGAACATGTTCTATGTTAACAGAGCAACAAAAAAGCCCATTTACTCTCAGATTATGTGAATATTGCTTATCATATTCAGAATAATGGTAGTAAAAGTCTCATTCCTACCCAGGTTGTTCAGGCTTTATCTGAAATGCTTCATGTGTTCATTTGGGTACTACATATGTATCGTCCTGAGTTTTTTAGATGAAAGCAACAAAACCCAAGTCTATCCAACTCAATCAAAACAAATAAAAACATACCAAAAAAAAAATGTGAAGGAATTTGTTCAAAAGTAGCTTCTAAAAAAAATCAAAGGAAAATTACTTCCTTTTCTGGCTATCAAGGGGTAACTAGACTGGACTTATGCTCCTGCCCTAAACAACTAAAAAGTGGATAAAATATATGAAATAACTCCTTTTAAACACTGAGCAAGAGGATTGTGATCCCTGAGAAAAGGTAAGCAAACAAGGTGAACCCTGGAATCATTCTGGCTTTCTGACTAGAGAGTGGTACTCCTGGACCACAGTGCAGGGGAGCACAGGAGAGATAGACAGGAAGTCAGGGAGGCTGGAATTTGGAGGGACGTATGCCAAAGAGGAGAGAATTACACAAGGAAAGACCTCCAGAGACTTGTATAAGGTCCTTCTGTTGCTGAATTATAAGCCATAATGAAAAGGGTGAACCTATTTAAGACTAGGCACACACCAATCCAGGTGCCGTAAACTGAACAATTCCCAGAGTCTTTGCAGGACTGATAAACAGAGTGAATAGTCTTCAGTGAACATTTGGGGGCATTCAATAGAGACCCCAGAAAGGTCATGCCTTACTATAGTGTATTAGTCTGGGTCTAGTCGGGAGGTAGCAACAACACAGTGGATTAAACAGAGGGGTTTTCATATAAAGAATAAATAACTGATAAATAGTGACTATAAGATATGGTAATTCTATATGGTACTCTAGGGCTGAGAAAGTGCTCATGAAAGGACAAAACTGTAAGGGTTTCAGATCTCACTGGAGAAGGTATAGTTTAGTCCACTGGACAGCAAAGAAGTTTGCGGGTTTGTCCAGGCTGCATCTGCTCTGAAGTCCCTAAGCCACCAGGAAGCAGCCCTCTGGAGTGCGGGCAAAACACTGGTGATTAGCACCAGGTAATGTGGGTAAGCAGAGAGAGTAGCAGCTCTGTGGGGACCCTCACAGATGAGGCACACAGGGACCTGTAGAAGGAACAGTAGCTTAGTAGATACCCCCAGTTCACAGGTAAGCAGTGCAGGGAGTTGTAGAGGGTTCAGGGACTCAATAGGAAATCTCTGTACAGCGGGTAAGCCATGATTGTGGAACTGAAGAAGGATTGGAGTGCAACTGTGGGCAGGGGGCTTTGGAGTGATGATGCAAGCAGAAGACCTCAGGGCATGAGTTTCTTTGCTGAGAGGGATGAAGGACATTTATTGCAATGTCAGAATAGGGCTGCGGGTCCTCTGAATAGATAAAAAAATTGAAGACCCTCTTGCCAGAGAGTCACAAGAATATAAAAATACAGACCATTTATTCCTCCTAAATATAGACACTCCTGAACAAAATTATAGCAAATCAAATACAATAGTACATAAAATCTATACTACACGTTGGCCAAGCAGACTTTAACTCAGGAATGCAAGACTGTTTTAATATCGATTTAGTCAATTAACAAAATAAAGGAGGGAAGCCATGCAATTATTTTACTTAATTCAGAAAAACATTTGATAAAATTCAACAGTCATTTATGTTAAAAAAAAGACTTTTAATGAAGGGACTTATTCAACATAAAGGGTGTCTATGAAAAATCTACAGCTAACATCTTACTGCTAGAAGACTATTTTTGCTCTAAGATGGGGAACAAGGCAAAGATATTAACTTTTATCACTTCTATTCAGCTTTGTATTAGGCATTCTATCAAGAGTGATAAGGCAAGAAAAAGAAATAAAAGAAGCAAAACTGTATTTATTTGATTGTAGACCATCCTTAGAAACTTAAAAAAAAACTATTAGAATTAATAAGTAAATTTAGTCAGGCTGCAAAATATGAAGCTACTGCATAAAATCCTGTTGTAGTTCTCCATACTAGCAACGAGCAATTAGAAACTAAAATTCAAAACCAAGTCTGTTTAAAATAGCATCAAAAATGTAAAAGTATGTAGGAATAGATTTTTAAAAATATGTGAAAATCTGGTACGCTGAAAACTATAAAATATTGTTGAGAGACATTAAAAAAGACCTAAGTTAAGGGAGAGATACAACATGTTTATAGATTGGAGGATTCAATACAGTTAGCATATAGATTTCCTTGAAGTTATCAATATATTTAAGGCACTCAGCCAAAATTCCAAAGTGAGTTTTTTAACTATTGACAAGCTAATTCTGAAATTCACATGGAAGATTAAAAAAGAAAAAACAACCCAAATCTAAAAGAGCTAAATAAGTTTTGGGGAAAAAAAGGAGAAAAGTTGGAAAATTTATTATACCTAAGTTGAAGTCTACTACAAAGCTACAGTAATCCAGGCAGCATGGTATTAGCATAAAAATAGAAATATAGTTCAAATGAAGATAGTGACTCCAGAAATAGACCCATTCTCACATGGCTTATTGATTTTCGGTAGAAGTGCCAAGAATTTTTCAATGGGGGAAAAGATAATCTTATCAACAAATTATGTCGAAACAACTGGATATCTATGTGAAAAATAATGAACATCAGCTCTTACCTTATACCAGACAGAAAAATTAACTCCAAATGGATCATAGACCTAACCATAACAGCTAAAACTATAAAATTCTGGAAGAAGCCATAGGAGAAAATCTTCATGTTCTTGGGATAAGCAAAGATTTCTTAGATAAAAGATAAAAACCAGAACCATAAAATAAAAAATTGATAAATTAGACATCAGAATAAAAAAAAAACCTTTTGCTGTTTTAAAGACAACATTAAGAAGCTGAAAGACAAGAGACAGACTAGAGCATATATTTGCTATACACATATCTGACAAACATCCAGTGTTCAAAATATATAAAGAGCTCCTACAAACCAATGACAAGAATACAAATGTCCTAATTAAAAGTTGGGCAAAAAAATTTGGACACCTCATCAGAGAACAAATGGCATGCAAGTATGTGAAAAGGTGGTAAACATCTTTGATGGTCACCATCATTAGTCATTAGGGTAATGCAAATTAAAACTGTTACATAATGAGGTACCCAGGGAATGGCTAAAATAAAAAAGACAGACAATATCAAGTGTTGATGAAAACATGGAGCAACTCTCACGTTGCTGGTGGGAATGTAAACTTATGTTATTCACATTAAAAAACAGCTAAACAATCTCCATTATATAGTTAAACATGCATTTACTTTAGAAACCAGTAATTCCACTCCTATGAAATAAGATAAATAACAACATATGCCCACAAAAAGACTTGTACAAGAATGTTCCTAGCAGCTTTATTTATAATGAACCTAAATTGGAAACAACATAAATGTTCATCATCATTTGATGAATGGGCAGATTATGTTCTATCCATATAATGGAATAATACTCATCAATAGGAAGAAACAAACTGCTTATACAAACAGCAACATCGATGATCTCAAAAAATTATGCTAAAAAGAAAACAAAAAAAACACACCCATTATGCTGAGTGAAGGAAGCCAGAAATGAAGGAATACATACTATATAATCTCATTCTAGAAACTCTTGAAAAGACAACTCTAATCTATAGCTACAGAAAGCAGCTCAGTGGGCCAGGGATGGGCTGGGGTGGGGAATTGACTTAAGAGGGGTGCAGAGGAACTGTCTGGGGTGATGGAATTGTTCATGATCTTGATTGTGAAAGTGGTTACATGGGTGTATGGTGTATACATGTTCAAAACGCATCACTGTACACTTAATATGAGTGCAATACGTTGAATGTAAATCATGTCTCAAAGTTGATTTAAAAATTAAGGAAGTGGAGCAACCAGATTTCATAAAGCTTTGCGGACCGAGTGACAAGCTAATGGCCAATCTCTAAAACACTTTCATATGGATCAATCAGCTCTAGATTTATTTGTTCTTGTGCTGATCTTATCAAAGCTGGGATTCCTGGCAGAGGAGGTCTGAGGGACTAGTTTAGGTCCTGGAAAGGGAAAAGCTGGACCATTCTGACTGACTGCCCCATGCAGTATGCACTAAGTGAAGCAGGAGTGGTCTCCGAAGAAAACTGCAGGTACTGTTAATCAGAAGAGGGGCAATGATGCCTGTAAACAAACAAACAAACAAAAACAGTTTTCCCCTGTTTGTTTTCTGGGAGAATTAAATGGTGAGGGACTTCAACCATATATATGTTCATTCATTACAGTCAAGCATAATTTTGAGCATGGACTATTTGCCAGGGGCTGTTATTGACTGGGGACACGTAAGCATTTGAGGTCTCTTTAAAGAAAAAGAGTTCATGTTAATAGAAGGAAGAGAACCCTGGTAGGAGAGGATCATTTGGAATGGGTATGGAGCACAAGATTTTTGTTTTTGTTTTTTCTTTTGGAAGTGAGAGAAGATAGAAGTTTTTATCTACTTGGGTCGTCCGGCCGCGGAAAAATTCTTTAGTAAGGAAGGGGAAGGTGGACAGAGAAGTACGTAGATTACAGAATTCACGTCCTGCCCAATCTACAGACGGAGAAAAGACTTCATCGATTTAACTATCATTGGTTCTCCCGGGACCTCCTGGGTGAGTCGGCAGAGGGAGCTATTTCCCAAGAAATCTCCACGCGAGGCCTTGCAAAGATTTTCTTGCGGGTCCGGGGAGTTCTTTTTCCGCCAGGCCTCAGTAAAGCAGGCTCCATCATTCTTCCCCATCCCCCCAACCCCTCGCCCCATCTTCCCAACCAACCACTTTGTTGCTGCTTCGCACACTCTGATATCGCTGGGTCACCCATTCCTTCGTCCCACATTTGCACTCCCTTCCTGCCACTGCTGGGGACGTGCCGTCCACTACATCTGGTCACTCGGATGCTGTTCCCAGTGCCCCAAATCCTCATCGAGGGTCGAGAGCATCTCCCGGGGACTTTGACGCGGGGGCGCGCACTGAACGTGGGTCGGGACGCAGACGTGCACTCTCTTTGCTACTCCCTGAGGTGACCCCAAGGTTTGCCAGTTTCGTGACCTATTGGCGGGTTCACTCTCAGGCGGTGGAAGCCGCTCTGGGCAGAGGGCGGCAGCGATCAGGACGCAGGAGTCGGGCCAGGCGGATCCTGCCAGTTGCAAGAGGGACTGCGCGCGGCGCCAAGCGACGCCCCCCTCCAGCGGTCACTGCCCAGGCCGCAGCAGCTGCAGCAGCGGCAACTGCTCGCATCCCAGCCCCGGCTCGGGTTACTCCTCTCCTCCTCCTCCAGCATCTCGAGCCAGACGGGGAAAACCTTATTCAAGTTTGCAGCGAGCACTTTTCCCCGTGCGCAAAACTGGGGGTCTGGAAACGCACCGAGACCGGCATCCTTTCCCGCGTCTCCACCTTTGAACCTAAACGGAGACTCCTAAGTGTCGTTCTCTTCTGGGACGCTGCTTGGAGGTTAACTGCGCGGTTTGGGACAGATTTTGTTTCTCGGCTGGCGCTGGGTGAAAACCAGGGGAAGAGGGTTGCGTTACGAATCTCAGGATCACGGGACCTGGGTAAGAGTTGGGCAAACTCAGTTCTGGCGGCCGCTGGACCTTAGCCGGGCGCTGGATGGTTTCATATGGGCGGGGGGCACATTTTCCTTCGCCAGGATACCGTGGCGCTGCGGCGTGAGGTGGGGTGAGATGAGCTCAGTCTGGGTCGGTAAACAACACGTCAAGTGTCTCAAGGGTTTGTTGTTTGCATTTCGTCTTGTTATTTGGGGCTGTGTAGGAACTTCTCGGAGTGTTTTTCATGGAGCCATCCACATTACGCGTTTTATTTTGCCTAAGTTCTGCCCTCATATTGTTCTGTGTGGGCGCATGTCAGCACTGGGTATAGAGAGCCGTTTCTGGGGAATCCGACTGAGAATGAAAAGCTGTTGCAGCCGGGCCCTTCCTTTGAGATCAGCTTTATTTCTCCTCTGGGATCTTGTTTTCTAAACTTCTTCAGTACTTGATATTCAGATGGTGCCGATAGACTCGGGATAGTCCCTCTTCCTGCGTTCCCAGCGACGGTTAGTAGTGTCAGGGTCGCAGGCTGGGTGATTTAGACCAGAGGGGTCTGGAATGCCGGGTTCCTCAGGGAATGTAAAGAGAGGCGATTTTTCAAGTCATAGTTACCTTAGAAAGATCTGTGTCGTGTTGGTCTTTTAAATTCCTTTGATCTAGGACTTTTACCCCTGGCTTAAGGAAATATTTTGTCCTTTTTTCTCCCCACTTCTTTTTCTTTCTGGAAATAAGAATGTTATCACTGAGTAAATGAAGTATGGTGATATCTTTGATGCTCCTTTAGAAAATTTCCTCAAACAAGGACCCAAACTCTTTAGGAGAAAGTTCAAGTTTGAGATTTGTATTAGTCCAAAAGTTCTTAGGTAGTGCTATGTGTGCTGTCCCAAGACAGAGGAAAATGACATTCCTTCTTGGTTCTCTGTGTCTTTCTCCTTTATATCCTGGGTCTCACTTTGTGTATGGTCTTCCCAACTAAAGACACTTCATTCCTTATGGATGCAAAGACAGGGACCAGATCATTTTCTCCAGAAATGCCCACTTCCTGTTGTGACTGCTCCAAGAGTTCAGCTTGCAGAGTGCGTTTTGCTTTGCTGCTCTGAGGTCAAAGAGTTCAGTAGGTGGTAAGCTCTGGGATCAGGCAACCTGGGGCCACCTCTGAACTCTGCTGCTTTCCAGTTGTGTGATTTGGGGCTTTACTTCACCTCTCTATCCTCATCTATAAAATTACAATGATAATAACAATGCTTACATCAGAGGGTTGGTAAAAGGATTAAGTGAATTAATGGGGGTGGTGTATTAACAAGCTTGGCAGAAAATAAGTAGGTAAGTATTAGTAATTATTATTATTATTATTAAGCTACATTAATAACTATTGCTGTATCAGGATAATAGTATAGGTTTCACTAGCTATCAGTAAGTTTTAGCTGTTATTCCTATTTGGATGGCCTTTGAAGTCTGCGCTCATGTGGGCTTTACTCCCACCTTGACATGATGTTTTGTCAAACTTAGGTCAGACACAATCTTTGCAGTGCTTTCTGCTGGGCACCCTTCACAGGAAAGACAGGTGCACATGGCAAGCCTGGGATTTGTAAAGGAGGGATCACGGTCAAGGAGTTCTTGGGACGGGCTAGCAGGTGGGAAATCTACACTTAGTTTGTAATCTATAAATTACACTGTCTTAGACATTCCTTGCGTTAATATACCTCCTTGAACCTATTTTTTTAGAGCTCAATCATTTACTCAAGAAATATTTATTAAGCACTTATTACATTTCAAGCACTGCTCTAGGTTCTATGTTATTTAAGTTCGTTGGCTTCATTTGAAAAATGGATATGCATGAGTATTTGCTTTAACCCCACATTTCAAGCATTTTAGGGTTTCGCGTACTTTTTAGCTATAATGATTTCAATACCTGTTAAATGAAAAGCACGTATTATTGAGGAATTGAACATATATTCAGTATAACCGCTAGCAGAATACTCTCTCAGAATACTTCTCCCATCAACTTCATCATATATAAACGTGTGTGGGGAGGTCGGGTAAAATCTGGATAATCTAGTGTTCCTTCTGGTTCTAAAATCCTTAAATTAGCAGCCTTCCTTCATTGGTGGTTGTTTTTCAACTTTTTTTTCTTTTAACATTTGTCACTTCCATCATTGCACATTAAAGTGAATAATGACACTGATAATAAAAAAAAAAGGAAAAGCATTTAGCTCTGCTAGTATTTCATCAGCTATTCTCAGATTTTCATGTACATCAGAAGCATGGAGAGGGGCTTGTTAAAAATAGTAGATTGAATTGTGAGAAATTGCCAAAATTTGACCATTTTTGACTTACATAAAAATGGCAATTGCATATTAGTCAACCTAATATAAATCCTAGCTCCCTCTGAGTTGATTCAGATACAGTAAATCTTGGGTGAAGTGTGAAAAGTCTGCAGTTTTACAAATTCCCCCAGATGCTTCTAATACAAACCCAAGTCACATGCTCATTTAGCACCAGTGGATTTACTTTCCTCATGATTGTCTCCTTGGTATAAAATCATATTTCTGAAATACAAACCTGATCACATCATTCTCTTGTTTAAACATCTGTGGCGGCTCCCCCAATGGTGAGCATCACTACCATCTAGTGCTTATTGAAAATGCAGATTCCAGGGCTGTACCCCTGATACAAGAGCCATGAGTCTGCCTTTAGGAGATTCCCTAGCAAATCTGGTGGGGATGACCTCAAATCACAATTGAAGAAACACTGGCTTGTAATACGAAGCCTAACCTCTCTAACAGAATAACACAAGACCAGGTTTGCGTTGTCTTTTCTGGGTTGTTTCTCTGCTTTCCTGTTCCCCAAGCCTCTAAGCCCCACTGATCTTGATCTTGTTATCGTTCCTTGGAGAATATTTTGTCTGCTTTCACTCCTCCCTGACCTAACTGTGAGGGAACTCTGCTGGAAATGTCTTTGCTCCTCTTTTCGGTCTAATCAACTATTTACTACCCATTCATCCTTCAAGGCACAGTTCAAATAAGTCCACCCCTCTGGGACACTTCTTACGTCTCTCATAAGCTTAGTGATATCTCATATAATTCCTATTCTACTTTGCAGATAGCTTTAATAGCATCTATCATATTGAATCAGCTGTGTTATCTGGATGTTTCTTCAACTGATTGGTGAGATTGTTCCAAGATTATTTCTTATTCTAAGCCTTTATCCAAATGGCTGGCACATAGTAGTTACATAATAAATGCCTAAAGAATGTAAAGTAACAATGAATGAATGAATGAATGGTAGTTGACGTTTTCTTAGCACACCAAGTGTTTGGGACAGTCACTTTGTACATACTAAGGGCTGTGGAGAAGCCAGTCAAAAATTTATAATTTGGCTAGATGTAGTCTACAAAGTGAGTAACCTGGAGTGGAAAAAGGACAAAACAAAATATCCTAAGAAGACTTATGAAACACCAGAGGCTACTGAATTAATATGACATGTTCAACATTGTGGAAGCACTATGATTCAAGAACTGAGTTGATCATACCTTTGAGATGGTTTTGGTTATGACTGTCAGGACACTGAAACGGAAGTGCCAATGCCAATAAAAAACAAAAAACAAAACCACAAAACACCACTTTTGCTCTGTGCTTTTTAGTTCATAAATACCTTTGTATTTGTTTTTGTATTTGATCAGAAACATGGTAACTCGTTCAGTACTATTTTTTTACTTAAGTACAGGACGCATTCCTAAAAATAGGTCCAAAGATTGTGCAAAAACCTACATGTTAACAAGGGATGCTGGCCCTATAGAGCCAAACATAGTATAAAATTTCTAATTATCTTGCCATTTAGACACAGCATTCAGTGTTTACTCCTTTCTTTAATTTTTCTTTCTTTAAACTTTCTATAATTTTGGTTATTTCCTCCTCATTTGAACAATAGTTGACCTGTTCAATAAATGAATGATTCTGATTAAAGATTTACCATCTTTGGCATGACTGATAACTTTCATCTTTGTCTCATTTATGTTAAGTTTATGAGACAAAAACTTTTGTAATTTATTAGGTTTTAAATGTTTTCATTTCCCACTCAATTTTTTTTTTTTTTGGTAATAATGGCGATGTACAATAACATTTGAACAAATGAACCAACAAATCGCAGGGTAATGACGGAGGTGGTGATGCTGCAAAAAATGGAATTGGTACTGATGGGCATCTCCACCATGAAATAAACCACCACCAAAAAGTTCATTCATAGGCTCAATGTGTGAGAGTTCCAATGACATAGGGCAGGAAGGTAGCAGCATTAATGCATGAAGTACAAATGTCCAGATGGTTTAGACTTAAAACAAAACAATATTAAGAACTGCCCATGATCTCAATTTCTCAAGGATGTGTATCCAGTATTTCATTTTAAAAATTAGCTTAGTTTTAAGAATTAACTAAGATTCATTGGGTTCTGTTGATTTGTCTTCTTTTTCAATTGTTTCCAAATGAACTTTTTCTACCTTAATTTAAGCTTACTTTTGTAAGTCTCTTGCCTAGTCTTCTACTGTCTTCATTCATTTATTCTCTTATCTGAATTTCCCAAGATTTTGTATTTATGTCTTGTTTCTCTTTTCTTCCCAATTTAATATTATTTTTCACTGGGTCATTTTAACTCTTTTTGAACATAGTTATTGCAGAGGATGAATTTATAACACTTAACAAAAGGATTTCTCATACCATGAGGGAAAAAATAAGATACAAACCAGTGTGACTTTACTTTATACAACTTTATTTGCAAAATTGCAAGTTGTCATGTGGATGTTACTTGATAATGCATACTCTGTGCCATTAGCCAGCCTGGAAAGTGTGAATGTGATACTATATCCTGTGATTATCGATGTTCATTTCTAGTGATTTCCTCTATTGTTTCATTTCCAGTGATTTATACTCCTAGATAAAGAAACTATGTAAAGCATTTCAACCACTTCAATTTCCTACTCAGAGGGCAATAAATTGTACCCTTCCCCCTAT